ACTATGGGTAATTTAGCACGGCCAATCCACCCTAACCTGCACATCCCGGGACACTATGGGCAATTTAACTGACAACTCTGTTTTCTCCTTCACAGATGCTGCCAGACCTGCTCAGCTTTTCCAGCAACTTTGTTTTTGTTCTTGATTTACAGCATCTGCGGTTCTTTTGGTTTTTAAACTTACAGCTTTAGCCTGGCTCCATACGGTCTTCACACAGTGCTGCACTGCTTTACACTTCACAGCTGACCTCAGGTCTTGGCACTGGTTTATCGCTTTGCCAACGCACGTCCTGTTGTACCGATCAAAACTGGCCAGCACTGAGGCACATCAAAGAAAACAAAATCAGATCGCCGTTAGTCCTCCCACAAAAAAGAAGCTCAAATTTCAAACCTCACTTCGGCGAAAGATCAGATTCTTGCTCTCGGTAGGACATCGGCTTCCATCTCCTTGGCTTGCGGATGGCACTAGCAGTTGGGCAGGCGCGGTGGCTCAGTGGTTAGCATCGCTGCCTCACGGCACCAGGGACCCGGGTTTGATTCCAGCCTTGAGGCGACAGTCTGTGTGGAGTTTGCACATTCTCCCCATGTCTGTGTGGGTTTCCTCCCACAAACCAAAGGTGTGCAGGTTAGGGTGGATTGGCCGTGCTAAATTACCCATAGTGCCCAGGGATGTGCAGGTTAGGGTGGATTGGCCGTGCTAAATTGTCCCATAGTGTGCAGGTTAGGGTGGATTGGCCGTGCTAAATTGTCCCATAGTGCCCAGGGATGTGCAGGTTACGGTGGATTGGCCATGGGAACGTGCAGGGTTACGGGATTGGGGTGCGTCTGGGTGGGAGGTTCGGGACGGGTCGAATGGCCTGCTTCCATGCTGTAGGGATTCAATGATAATTTCAACGTCCATATGACTAAGTGCAATTGAAGCTTGTCCGTTTATATTTGTTTCTCCGACATGTATTGCTTGACTGGTTTGTGCTTGAGCTGGTAATTTTTAACTTTGCAAGTTCATGTAACGTTCAATGCTAAAATTATACCAGGCATCAGTCGGACTAAACTTAGAACACTATGAACAATTTTGGGGCCCTGTATCTAAGGACAGATAGACCGGCCATGGGAGGCAGCCCAGAGTAGGTTCACTCGGCTGATCCCAGGTACGGAGGGACTGTCTTATGGGGAGAGGTTGAGTAGTTCGGGGCCATTTAGAGGAATGAGAGGTGACCTTATTCAAACACACAAGATTCTTAAAGGGACTTGACAGGAGGAGATGTGGAGAGGTTGTTTCCCCTTGTGGGAGAGTCCAGGACCAGAGGGTGTAATCTCAGAATAAGAAGTTGTCCATTGAAGACAGAGATGAGGAGGACTTTCTTCTTTCTCTGAGGGGAGTGAATCTGTGGAATTCTTTACCGCAGAGGGCTGTAGGGGCTGGGTCGTGAAGTCTATTCAAAGCCGAGACAGATTTTTAAATCAGGAAGGGGGAATCGAGGGTTATGGGGGCAAAAGGAAGGAAAGTGGGAGTTGAGGATGATCAGATCAGCCGTAGAATGGTGCAGACTCGATGGACTGAATGACCTCACAATTTCAGTCTTGCACAGACCGATGGAAGAAGGGAGCTTTGATCGATTGGGCGACAAGATTAGATCCTCAAACCAAGTGAAAATGCTGGAAGTCTGAAGTCAGCCAGTATTTGCGGCTGTGGACAGAGTTAACGTTTCATGGAGGGAAACTGAAAAGTAAGAATTCTAAGCCCATGGAAAGGTGAGTTGGGAGGAACGAAAGTAAAAAAAAGAGGGGAATCTCAGAGATAAAGGGAAGGAAGGAGAGACGAAAGAACGAATTCAAGGTGGCATGGATGAAGAGAGAGAAGCTGCATGTGGTGTCCAAATGAGATGTAATGGAGAAGGTAGCATCAAAGAAACAAGACAAAGGCCAAGAAATGAGTCGGATATTTGACAGGAAGAGGGGAATGGTCTCAGTCATGCAGAAGAAATCCCTAAAGATAGTGACTCGCAAAACAAAAGCAGCTGGTGAGGCTTCATCTGCGGCCTTTTGGCCTACAGGCTCCTGAGAAGTCCCTTCGAGTCAGGGGAGAGGAGGAACAGTGTTCAGGCGAACAATCCCACACATTCTCACCAACCTAGCTGTGCTTGAAATGTGTTATGATCAGGTAGAAAAACCAAGGCATGAGAAAACGTTGATCTGGAAGATGAACAAGGCAAAGGGGCACACAGTGCCTGGTATAATCCTGGGAAGATCAGAGGGATCTTACTGTGCAGGTCACAGGGACAGGGAGATAAGGTGGTGAAGAAGGCATACGGGATAGACTTTGTTAATCAATGAGATCGCCTTGAATTCTCCGGATAATTTCTCCACAGGACTTATACAATTAATGTTTAGGGCCTTGGGGTAGTGCTGTAGAGCAGAGAGACCTAGGGGCTCGGATACATAATTCTTTGAAGTTTGTGTCACATGTAGACAGGGTGGTTAAGAAGGTGTTTAGCACGTTTGCCTTCATTACTCAGAGCTTTGAGTATAGGAGTTGGGGACGTCATGTTGAGGTTGTACAGGACGTTGGTGAGGCCTCTTCCGGAGCACTGTGTCCAGTTCTGGGGGAGGTTGTCTTGTTATGGGAAGGATATTATTAAACTGGAGAGGGTTCAGAAGAGATTTACCACAAATGAGTTGGAAGAAGAGGCTGGGACTTCTTTCCCTGGAGCGTAGGAGGTTGAGGGGCGACCTTCCAGAGGTTTATAAAATCATGAGGGGCGTAGATAAGGTAACTGGCAAGTGTGTTTTCCCTAGGGTGGGGGAATTTCAAGACTATTTTTAAGATGAGAGGAGAAAGATTTAAAAAGGACATGAGGGGCAATTTTTTACTCCCACAGAGAGTGGTCCGTGTGTGGAATGAACTTCCAGAGGAAGTGGTGGATTTGGGGTACAAAGAACAAAGAACAAAGAAAATTACAGCACAGGAACAGGCCCTTCGGCCCTCCAAGCCTGCGCTGATCCAGATCCTCTGATATCTAAACCTGTCGCCTATTTTCCAAGGATATGTATCCCTCTGCTCCCTGCCCATTCATGTATCTGTCTAGATACATCTTAAATGATGCTATCGTGCCCACCTCTACCACGTCCGCTGGCAACGCGTTCCAGGCACCCACCACCCTCTGCGTAAAGAACTTTCCACGCATATCTCCCTTAAACTTTTCCCCTCTCACCTTGAAATCGTGACCCCTAGTAATTGAGTCCCCCACTCTGGGAAAAAGCTTCTTGCTATCCATCCTGTCTATACCTCTCATGATTGTGTAGACCTCAATCAGGTCCCCCCTCAACCTCCGTCTTTCTAATGTAAATAATCCTAATCTACTCAACCTCTCTTCATAGCTAGCGCCCTCCATACCAGGCAACATCCTGGTGAACCTCCTCTGCACACTCTCCAAAGCATCCACATCCTTTTGGTAATGTGGCGACCAGAACTGTACACAGTATTCCAAATGTGGTCGAACCAAAGTCCTATACAACTGTAACATGACCTGCCAACTCTTGTACTCAGTACCCCGTCTGATGAATGAAAGCATGCCTTATGCCTTCTTGACCACTCTATCGACCTGTGTTGCCACCTTCAGAGTACAATGGACCTGAACACCCAGATCTCTCTGTGCATCAATTTTCCCCAGGGCTTTTCCATTTACCATATAGTTTGCTTTTGAATCTTCCAAAATGCATCACCTCACATTTGCCTGGATTGAACTCCATCTGCCATTTCTCTGCCCAACTCTCCAATCTATCTATATTCTGCTGCATTCTCCGACAGTCCCCTTCACTACCTGTTACTCCACCAATCTTAGTGTCATCTACAAACTTGCTAATCAGACCATCTATACCTTCCTCCAGATCATTTATGTATATCACAAACAACAGTGGTCCCAACACGGATCCCTGTGGAACACCACTGGTCACAGTTCTCCATTTTGAGAAACTCCCTTCCACTACAAATCTGTCTCCTGTTGCCCAGCCAGTTCTCTATCCATCTAGCTAGTACACCCTGGATCCCATGCGACTTCACTTTCTCCATCAGCCTACCATGGGGAACCTTATGAAACGCCTTACTGAAGTCCATGTATATGACATCTACAGCCCTTCCCTCATCGATCAACTTTGTCACTTCCTCAAAGAATTCTATCAAGTTGGTAAGACGTGACCTTCCCTGCACAAAACCATGCTGTCTATCACTAATAAGCCCATTTTCTTCCAAATGTAAATAGATCCGATCCCTCAGTATCTTCTCTAGCAGCTTCCTCACCACTGACGTCAGGCTCACCGGTCTATAATTACCTGGATTATCCTTGCTACCCTTAAACAAGGGGACAACATTAGCAATTCTCCAGTCCTCCGGGACCTCACCCGTGCTCAAGGATGCTGCAAAGATATCTGTTAAGGCCCCAGCTATTTTCTCTCTCGCTTCCCTCAGAAACCTGGGATAGATCCCATCCAAACCTGGGGACTTGTCCACCCTAATGCCTTTTAGAATACCCAACACTTCCCCCCTCCTTATGCCAACTTGACCGAGAGTAATCAAACATCTATCCCTAACCTCAACATCCGTCATGTCCCTCTCCTCGGTGAATACTGACGCAAAGTACTCATTAAGAATCTCACTCATTTTCTCTGACTCCTCGCATAACTTCCCTCCTTTGTCCTTGACGGGGCCAACCCTTTCTCTAGTTACCCTCTTGCTCCTTATGTACGAATAAAAGGCTTTGGGATTTTCCTTAACCCTGTTTGCTAAAGATATTTCATGAACTCTTTCAGCCCTCTTAATTCCTCATTTCAGATTGGTCCTACTTTCCCAATATTACAATGTTTAAAAGACATTTGGATAAGTACATGAATAGGGAAAGGTTTGGAGGGATGTGGGCCAGGAGCAGGCAGGTGGGACTAGTTGAGTTTGGGACTATGGTCTGCATGGACTGGTTGGGCTGAAGGGTCTGTTTCCATGCTGTGTGACTTTATAAATGTGAATTTCTGATTGTCTCTGGTAAAGTGTGTTGTTAATTTATTACAGAACTGAGCCGTTCCTGCACAGCGTTGTGTGTAAAGAGCGTTGTTGCATGGATGTTCCTGGTTTGGTGATTCTAAGGTCAGCTAAACGACAGGAGCTGACAGATGGGGAACTAAAACCAATTCTGGGACAGATTTTCTACAGAGAGATTTAAAGATCTCTTTGTTTCTCTCTCTCTCTGTGTTTTGCCTGAGTTTAACTGTTTGAATGCCTTTGAAGCAAGCCAGAGACCCAAAATCAATTAAAAACAAAAAGGTTCAGG